GAAAGACAGAGTCTTTTACAGAAGGAAGGAGCTAGGACTCATGGACATTCCCCAGCTAAGGGTCTAGATCCTCCTTTAAAGATTTCAAGGGTAAGGATATTAATTGTAGTGTCCAGGTCTAATTCAATTAATCATAGAATAGCAGGGTTGGAAGGGACCTCAGGAGGTCATCTAGTCCAACCCCCTGCTCAAAGCAGGACCAATCCCCAGACAGGTTTTTACCCCAGTTCCCTAAATGGCCCCCTCAAGGATTAAACTCACAACCCTGGGTTTAGCAGGCCAATGCTCAAACCACTGAGCTATCCAAGCAGGGGAATTATATTCCATTCCAGTGGAGAGGGGCCTGGCTCAGCGTCTCATTTACCATTTTTTTTAAAAAGAGGTTCAGCCATCCAGTTAGAAAGCACCATCAATATCACATGACTCAACAACCCAATAACACACCCTGAATAACAAACACAAATGAGGAACGGTTCCCGAACAGGATAAAAGGCCAACGCTAAACAGCCAGACACCTACATCCATATTCTAGCACCTAAATCAGCAGCCTGGTTTTTCATTGGGGCTGAAGCCAGGGGATACCGCTGGCTGCTCAGCACCTCTGGAAGTTGGGCCAGTTCTTTTAGGTACCTAAATATAGGCTCAAAACTGGAGTAACTAAATGAAATTCTCTGGTCTCTGTTATACAGAAGGTGAGACTAGATGATCTAATGGCCCCTTCTGGCCTTAAAATCTAGGTGTGACTCTATGAATATGGATCAGCTGCTGAATTCCAGCCATAATTCATTGCAAATACTCCAGTTGGCTCCACTGGGGATCTTGTTGGTGGAGAGATACTGACTTGAGTGGGAGCTACACCATACCACGTCTGAATGTGGCCCTTTGATGAATGGGAGTGACACGGTCACATGCTCTTACCTCAGTTCATTTGGTCGCTCAGTCAGCTGTTCCACCTGCCACAGCCAACTCTCTGGAAACTGGCTCCTTGAGGTAATATCTTCGTCGGACAAGAAATCTTCATCCAAGTCACCTGGGAAGTTAAATCACAAACCGTCTAGCTTTGCTGTGACATTGATTGGGATGGGGCAAACCTGAAAGGATTCGGGGGTTGGCCTGCTCTAGAACTGACCTGAAAGCATCCCTGATTTGACCTACATTGCCAAGTTTTGATGCTGCCAGCCCAGAAGAGCATGAATTGGAGTGTAGTTGAATGGCTGGAGGGGAAGCCACAGGCTTCTTCTCCTCTCCATGCCTGCCTTGCTGTTCCCCCATGAGCTAGCCTTTTCTGGGCTCCTATAACACTGGTATAAGCCACTGGCTCAGTGCTACATGTGCGCCCTCTAGTGGATATTCTGCAAAGGGTAAGAGCCTACTACTATTTCTAGCTAGGGGAGTTACCCCTTTAGCTCAAGTGGTAGAGGACTGTGCTTTAGAAACAAAAGTTAAACCTCAGGGGCGACCTGTGAAGAGGTTATTACCCTGACTCATCTGGGTCCCCATATCAACATGGTGCAAGACTAACAGGATTGCTGCCACTGCATTCATGCCCATCTCCCCCCAGGGGGATCTGTGAACATGAGCAGGGTTGGTTCATGTGGCGTTGTCTTAATTCTCTAACAATCCCCCCAGCCTTGCTCCTCTGAGTATATTGAAACCCCGGTACTTGCTTCTTGCAAGTTGCAGGGGGAGCTCCCGTTGCAGCTTGTCCCGTATGGTCTTGATATAATTGCAGCAATCGAGGAAGGTCTTCTTGCATTCATCCATATCCAGGATGTACCCAACCCGCTTCTCGCAGCTGTGCCCCATGGGGTTCTCGTGCATCCCATCTTCACAGCATTTCTTCAGCTTCCGGTCCTGGTAATCTGCCACTGAAATGTACAAGCTGGAAGGTCATTCCTACCAAGCTTCTTCTAGTCCTCTCTCTCTCTCTCTCTCTCTCATTAATTTACTACTAGACATGGCCAAAGAAGGAACATAGGAACTGGCACTCTGCTCTAATCCAGTATCTTGTCTCTAACAGTCACTAGCACCAGCAGCTTCAGAGAAAGGTGCAAGAAACCGCATAGTGGAATAACCTGCCCACAGAGAAGTTTCTTCCTGACCCCAATCAGAGATTGGCTCATGCCCTGAAGCATGAGGATGTATAGCTCTTCTTAAAAAATCCTATCCTATGCAATGGTGAACATCCTCCTTTCCCATGTAAATGGCTCATCCTTTTTTGAATCCTGCTAGGGTCTTGGCCTCAATACAATCCTGTGGTGGTGAGCACTATGAGTTAATTATGCATCGTTTATGAAAATATTTCCTTTTATAAATTCTTAATTAGAAACCATTCAGTTGGGTTGAGTGTCTCCTTGTGCTTATATGAGTAATTTAACAATGTACCTGTTGTTATTTGAATTGTAGTAGCACTTTGGGTCCCCAGTCATGGCCCAGAACCCCACAGTGCTGGGTGCTGAACCAACACAGAACAGAGAGACGGTCCGTGCCCCAAAGAGCAATTTACTATTCATTATTTTCTATACCTCTATCGCATCCTCTCTATAAACTGACCAGTTCCAATCTCTCCTCATATGGCAGGAGGCTGTAGCAGGGTGAAACTGGTCACGCTAGGGAATCCCCTGATTAGTACCTACCTTTGTTTGCCTTATACTCAATGAGCTGAACAGAGCGACGCCGGCGTTTTGCTGGCCGGGGACACTCTGGATCTGCAGAAGCAAGTGAGAAACAGAAAATAAAAACCCACCCACCGAGTGAGGCCCTACACTCAACTTGATGCCATTTCTCTGTCTGGATGTAACAGGGTAACTTTTGAACACCGCATCTGGTCAGTTCCCAAATTTCCTAGATGGGTCTAGGCCTCAATGAGCAGAACTCCGTTGATTTAGGGGGAAATCAGAAAACCAGAAAAGCCATTTTGGCACTTAACATATTGCTCCTTCTTGTCCCGGTGGGAGCCACATAAGAGCTGTTGGGCAGATGCTCAGCCAGCCAGGGCAACCAGAAAGAGAGGAGAGTGAAGGAGGCTTCATTCCTTCCTCCTTCCTAGCGCGCTGCCCCCAAAAGCCTGCAGCCTGGGGCAGAGAGAGAGTCAGAGAGACGAACCAACCATCTGCCCGTCCCTTCCAGGCCAGGGGGAAGAAAGATACTTTGGAAGTGGGAGAAACCCAGTGGACTAGAAGAGAAGGTCTTTGAACCCCTTCCTCGGAACCATCCCATTCTTAAAATTAATCCCTCTTTTTTTAATAGGTGGGGGGCCAGTGGGAATTCAGGACCTTATTCTCATCCCCCACTGTAACCCCAACATTTCCATTCCTAGGCCATTCCAGTGGGATTTGCCCTGCTAGACTGATGTCCCTACCCCAGGCTCATGGTGTAGGTCACTGTGCCTTGCTTTGCCTACACTTTCCTCCCTTCCTCCATCGCAGCTCTATAGAGTGATACCTGTTCTCTGGACTGTGGAAATCCCATTGCTCGTCTCCAGGGCCAGTCCAGCATCCGTAAATACCCCCAGATTGTTCTTTCCACTGCCAGCTGTACAGCCAATGTCACTCCTCTCCACAGAGTCCCAGATCTGTGAGGTGCAAACACAATGATTGAGAGATTATTGTTAACAATGACACTTCCCATGTATACGGTGCCATCCAGCATGATCCCAAAGCATTATACAGGCTCTGAGCCAGATTCCGGTTTCAGGTACAACTGTGCAATCTGCAGTAACTCCACTGATTTCCTTTGACTAGCTCTGTGTTTGTTTGCAGCAGTGTAAATGAAAGCAAAATCTGAGCCGTAAGTAAAGGATTTATTGCAATTCAATCCACACTGAAATGCGTCCACCTCTGGGATGGAGCACAACAGCCATTCTGCACCAGCAACACAACCGATCTTAGGAGGAGAAAGAAAGTATTAGGCAGCCAGTTGAACCCAGACAGAGGACGATGTTAGGCAGAGAGACATTAAATACCCAAATTAGAATTCAGACAGAGCACCCGGGGCCTGACCCTTGTGGAAAGGGTCACAGGACATTTAATGACCCGAACCTCTGTTTGATATGTCAGCTGAGAAATGGCAGTTTCAGTAGCATTGCATCCCCTAGAACCTTGATAGGGCCTGGGGACCAGCGCTGACTCAGAAGAAAGTGCACCCTCTGTTGAGTCACTAACGCTTTTCCCTGCAGCACAGCGCCACCTAGCGCCGAATTGGGGCATTGGGTTCAGCTCTGACTGGGGAGGGAGAGCGCCCCCTACTGAGCACACCCCCACTCCCTGATGTACAGCACCACCATGGGCACTGAGGTGAGAACTGCCTCTGAAGGGAGAGCGCCCCCTACTGCATCACCCGCACAGCTCCCTACAGCCCAGCACCATCTGGGTCAACACTGTCCCAAGGGCAGGGTGTCCTTTAGTGTGTCCAGAACAGCTCCCTGCAGTACCCTGGGTTTCACTGGGTGTCTCCCAGCCAAGTACTGACCTGGCCTGGCCCAGCTCAGTTAAAGTGCAGTGGAGCTCACACCCCAAGCGGCAGGTCTGCAAACAAACGGCTCACTTCGCTTTGGGGCGTAGAGCAAGGGTAAGAGCTGAGCTGCATTTCCCGCTATAAAACATCACAAGTTACAACCAACATCTTTCATGCCCCACCTTCGATTGTGTAATTTTGTGTTTTTTGTTCAGAACGTAGACCCCTTTGTCCACGGCCACCAGGCCGACATAAGCTCTGTGGTCTCCTTCCAGTTTGAGTTTCATTGGAGTTCCCGGCTCATGGATTCCCCTGTCTTCGTCAGTAGCTCCATTCACCACTAGCTGTATGAAAGAGAGTGAAGGGAGAGGTTTTGTTTTAAAGCACAGGGAGCAGCTAAGAACCCTCCTTTGCAAAACATAGGAGAAAAGGACGTCAGACCTCATGTTCCTCGAGCATCCAAAAGCCTAATTCTCATCTCAGGGGCAGCTGTGTAAATCTGGAGTAGCTCCACTGACTTCAGTGCTGTTACTCCATATTCATGCTTGTGTAAACTAAGAACAGAATCGGACCCAATGTCCATGAGGCCCCTTTGTTCCAGCCATCATGGAAAGGTGACCAGGGCCGGCTTTAACAAGTGTGGGGCCCGATTCGTGGGGCTTGTACTCACCGGGTAGCGCTCCGAGTCCTCAGCGGCACTTCGGATTGCCGCACTCCGGCCGGGGAAGGGAGGCTGCGGGGCTCGCAGTGCTCTGGCCGGGGAAGCGGGGCTGCAGGACTTGCAGTCCTCTGGCAGGGGGAGCAGGGCCATGGGGTTGCAGCGCTCTGGCCGGGGTTGCGGGGCCATGGGGATTGCCGCGCTCCGGCCAGGGTTGCGGGGCCACAGGGCTTGCAGCGCTCCGGCCGGTGTCACAGGTCCATGGAGCTTGCCGCGCTCCGGCCGGAGTCGCGGGGCCGTGGGGATTGCCGCGCTCTGGCCGGGGTCGCGGGGCCATGGAGATTGCCACGCTCCGGCTGGAGTCGCAGGGCCACGGGGATTGCCGTGCTTCGGCCAGGGGAGCGGGGCCGGGGGCTTGTACCTGGAGCGGGTCCGCTGGCTTAGAGCGGTCTGCCCGGGCTCCGGCCAGGGAAACGGGGTGGCGGGGCTTGCCGCGCTCCGACCGGAGCTCGGCGGGGGGAGTGGGGCCGCGGCCTTGCCACACTCCAGTCTAGGAAGCGGGGCCGCGTGCTTAGAGCAGTCTGCCGGCTCTCCGGCTGGGGGAAGAGGGCGGCGGGGCTTGCCGCGCTCCAGCCAGCGCTCTGACCGGGGGAGTGGAGCCGCGGGGCTTGCCGCGCTCCGCTGGGGAAGCGGGTCACGGGGTTGCTAGGCTCCGGCCGGGGTAGCGGGGCTGCGGGGATTGCCACGCTCCGCCCTGTGCTCCGGCCAGGGAAGCGGGGCTGGGGGCTTGCAGCACTCCGGCTGGGGGAGCAGCACTCCGAAGACCCGGAAGGAGTGAAGGACCCGCCACCGAAGTTCCTCCGAAGATCCGGTGCGCCGCCAGGTGAGTAAAAATTAAAAAGGCCACTGAGCGTGGGGCCCTCTTATGCGCGGGGCCTGATTCGGGGGAATTTGTCCCTCAGGCAGCCCTGGGAAATCTACAAAGAAGTTTGAACTGTAATGGATCTGCTCTGTGGGCCTGGTCACTGATCTCAGGTGGTGCAAGTCAGTAGAGCTCCATCCACTTCAATCCACAATCCACAGCGTCTTTATTGCTGAGCTAGAAAGAACCTCAGCTTGACTCCCGGATCCTAGAGTGGGTTGACAGCATTGGCTTCTGGGGGCTGGTGAACATCTTTGTACATGTAAACCGATCAAATCTGATCCAGAATTTGCTGGGAGACAGTCAATGAGCAGCCCCACGGTGCCATTTTTAGAGTCCCTTTTGAGAGTCAGTCATGTAGAAGGCCAATTTGAATATCAACTTACCGTTCCCATGCAAGTGTCCTGGATGTCCAGCCAGACCGAGTCTGCTACAATCTCCGAATTTCCTACTTGGTAGTAAGCCACGATGCGGAATGAAGGGATGAGGTCTGGAGTGATGGGTAGGGACATGATCACCAGATTTTGTCCCGCCTGCCTGGCCTGTCTCCCTACACGAATGATCTTCCCTTTATTCAGGATCTAACAGTGAAACATGAGACGTGGATTGTTAAAGGCCACAAGGGTTAGCACAATGGGTGATTCAGATTCCATCCACCTGTGTTCTACAAGTAAGAGACGGTCACTTGCAACTTTTCAGATGGGCATTTACATCTAAGCGGAGAGAGGAAAATAAGCTAAAATCCATGTGTTCCAGGAATAGGCTGTAATGGCATTGGTGCTAATATTCACCAAATCTGATTCTCAAATCTGAGTATTGTTTATGTTTCACCAACAGAGACCACCCCTCCTTTCCCCCATCCCACTCACCAAATATACTTCATATCCGCGCTATATGGCAACTTTATTATTTGATTGTCCAGCTCTAAAAATAACAGAGTTGACCTATTCCTCTGCGTTGAAAAAGTAGCAGTGCAGTCTAGTGTTCAGAACAGGGAACTGAGACCTGGGACTCCTGGGTTCCATCCCCAGCTCTAAGAGGAAATATGCTCTAGTGAGTGCACGGGGAGGAGTCAGGACTCCTGGTTCCATCCGCAGATCGAAGAGGAAGTATGGTTTAGTAGCGAGTGCAGAGGGATGGTCGTTAGCACTCCTGGGTTCTGTCTCCAGCTCCTGGAGGAAGTGGGCTCTATTGATTATCACAGGGCCTGGAGTCAGTAATCAGAAGTGGATAAGGGGTCGTCCCCATGACTGACTATTTCATTCACACCATGACAGGGTGCTGGGCAAAGGGTTGTAGCTTCAGCCCTCTGTCACGCCCGCTCCTCGCTGGGGAACAAATTATAGCGGGCTGGAGGTAACCTGGCCCTAACTGGAGAGGCAGAGACAGCTGCTACCTAATTAGACTGTGGCTGCATAAAAGTCTCAGGGGAAGGAAGCCGGGGAGAGCAGGAGAAAAGGAAAAAGGCAAGGAATGAAAGCAGGGAGGTAGCTCCCGCTCCTTCCTGTCTGCAGACAGTGAAGGGTTACCTGTACGTGGTGAAACGGTGGTGGGAACAAGCCTGAGAATAAAGTGCACCAGTGGTTACTAAACCCAGGGTCTCAGAGTGACTTTATGAACCTAGCAGAGGCAAAAGCCTAGGGGGCCCTGCCACACTCTGCTACACAGACACACAATGAATATACTGCCTGACTGGGAAGAATTCTCTGCTACAGGTTCTCCTTACATGCAGTGGGACTATTAAAGGACAGGTGAAAACTCAGATGATGCCTAAGTTCCAGGAGATCCCAGTACCCAGGGACACAGCACTTACTATGTAGGTGAAATACTGGATCTGGTTCAGAACAGCTGGATTGTTGCATGTCAGGTGGAAATTCACAAGTAAGTTGTCTCCAGGTTTGAGCTCAGAAGCTGTCACTGCCAGACGGAGATAGTTTTGAGACCCTCCTTGGGACTGATAGGCTTCAGCCACCATGGACTTAGAGGCCTGGCGGTGTGCTGGGAGGTTGGAATGGGCAGTTTTTACCTGCAGGGGAGGTGGAGATAAAATCTTAGTTAAATTTGGGAGTGAGCTTAGGGTCTATAGCCCCTCACGCTGGGTCACACCATGAACAATAGCAACGGAAGCTTCCCTGAGACGCCATTGTTGGTGGATTCTGCTGCTAACAGCCATTCTAGGCATGACACCTCAGAGAAACGCCAAATGTCACTTTTAACTGGCTCGTTGCTTCAGCACAGTCCTGCTGGGACTCCAGATTTCTGGACTGTCAGAGAACATGTCCCTGAACAGAGGAGACTGCCTTGCCCCTTGCAGGAGGGGTGAGATGAATATAAAGAGGGACTCTCTCCTGAAGCGGCTGGACACAGATAGATCCAGTGTTCTCTCGGGCTTTGTAGCTTGAGCCTGGTGTCACCTCACAGGGTCTTCACACTAAGCAGCCATGCGCTGTCTACAGGCTCCTTTGCTGCATGGTGGGTACCTTCAGTGTGGCAAGGGGACTAATCTGGACCTGCCTATGCCCATGTCAATGTTTTCTGGGATCTCTTCTGGCCCCACGATGAAGCATTGGTTACATGGTGATCGGAGCATCTCCAAAACCCAATGGTATACATCAGGAGTCGGCAACCTTTCAGAAGTGGTGTGCTGAATCTTCATTTATTCACTTTAATTTAAGGTTTCACGTGCCGGTAATACATTTCATGTTTTTTGGAAGATCTCTCTCTATAAGTCTATATATTATATAACTAAACTATTGTTGTATTGTAAAATAAACAAGGTTTTCAAAATGTTTAAGAAGCTTCATTTAAAATTAAATTAAAATGTTGATCTTACGCCATCAGCCCGGTCAGCCCGCTGCTGGTCTGGGGTTCCGTTCACCTAGGCCGGCAGTGGGCTGAGCGGGGCCTGCAACCGGGACCCTGGCTGGCAAGGGGCTGGCAGCCAGAACCCCGGACCGGCAACGGGCTGTGTGGGGCCGGCGGCTGGGACCCCAGACTGGCAGTGGGCTGAGAGGCTCAGCCCGCTGCCGCTCAGGGGTTCCATCTGCCGGCTCCTGCCAGCTGGGATCCTGGCTGCAGGACCCGCTCAGCCCGCTGCCGGTCTGGGGTCCCGGCCCTGCCCACATACACTGGGTACCTACCTTCTCCCTGGTTCTGGCCCATTCTCTTCCTCTCTCTCTGCACTGAGCTGAGGGTGGGAGTGCACTGAGCACAGGGCTGGGGTGAAGGAGCAGGCTGGAGGTTGGGGTGTAGGGTCTGGCCAGGAGCTAGAATGAGGGAGGGGGCTCAGGATTGGGGCAGAAGGTTTGGGTGTGGAGCGCTTACTTGGGCAGCTCCCATTTGGTGCGAGGTGTGCAGGTGGGAATGTGGGGAGGGGTGCAGGAGTTCCCGTTTGGTGCTCAGGGTGGGGTTGGGGATGTGGGGGGTGCAAGAGTCAGGATGTGGGGGGTGCATGGGGTGTGGGGGGGCTGGGTATGTGGGGGGGGATGCAAGAGTCAGGGCAGAGGGCTGGGGGCATGTGATGGGGGTGCAGGTGTCAGGGAATGGGGTGGGGGGGCTGGGTATGTGTGGGGGTGCCAGAGTCAGGGCTTGGGTCGTGGGGGGGGTGAAGGAGTCAACAGAAGGCGGGGTGTGTGTGAGGTGGGTACAGGGCTCAGGGCAGGGGCCTGGGGGGAGGGGTGCGGGGCTGTAGGGCTCAGGGCAGGGGCCTGCAGGGTGTGCAAGCCTGCAGGGCAGAGGGCTGGATGTGTCTGAGGGGGGTTCAGGGCAGAGGGCTGGGGTCGTGGGGTGCTCACGGCAGGGGGCTGGAGGGGATATGCCCCATTCCACACACCCCTTCCCCAAGGCCCTGCCCCTGCTTCTTCTCTGCCTCCGACAGGAGCAGCGAGCACGCTGACCCCTCTCCTCCCCCAGCTCCTCCCTCGCAAGGGCCATCAGCTGATCAGCCGGCAGGGAGGGAGGGAGGGACGGAGAGGAGGAGGAGGGGTAGGAACCCAGCACGCTGCGGGAAGAGGCAGGGGAGCCGGCAGGACCAAGCTTCTGGCCCCTGCCCCCTGCCCCCTGCCCCCTGCCCCCTGCCCCCGCGGGAGGGGGCAGGGGGTGCGGAGGGCGGAGAAGAGTGGGCCGGGCCGGGCTGGGCGGGATTTTTAATGGCACGCTGCTGCCTGCCGGGACCCCAGCAGGCAGCAGCGTGCCATTAAAAATCGGCTCGCTTGCCGTCTTTGGCACGCATGCCATAGGTTGCTGACCCCTGGTATACATGAAACTGACCCCAGGCACAGATAGTATGCACAGAGTTCAGTTATCCTCCTGCTCAGTGCATGAGAGGGGAGTGAATGCCACCAACAGGGCATTGCCCTCGGGGTGCATATAGTACTTAGCCCAGACTCAGTGTTTGAAGGTTACTCACCGTGATGGGAACCAGCAGCCTATCCCTGGGCATATTTATAATCAGCTTGGCAGTTCCATCTCTCTGGGTCGACCCAGCCGACTGGAATCCTTCAGCCTGTACTGGGACACGGGGCGCTGGGGAGCCATCAGGGTTTGTGACGTAGACCTGAGGGGCACGATCAAAAACAGATGCATCGAATAAGGGGTGCAGCGCTCCCTGCATCCTAACTTCAAATCGAAGTCACATATTGTGGAAGGGAGAAAGAGATAAAGGGAACTGAACATAGAGATCTTACTCTGTCTCTGAGCAAGAGTCAGGCTAACAAAGTCAGGCCAACACTGACTCTAATAACGCGAGACCTGAAGGCCTTGGCGGGTAGAAAGCGAGAAAGTGAATGGGAACAGACAGTAAGAGATACTGTTTTGACCTTGTGTTAGATAAGAATGGAATGTAGACTGTAGCAGAAATTAATGAGAAAAGTGAGATATCAGGAAGAAATATGTATAACAAAATGCAACTGTTGCTCATTATCGCCTGTCACAACAGGTATAAAAGCTTGCTCTAATTGTTTATTTAATGGAGACCTGCCCCTGTGTACTCTCCCGAGCATTTGCAATTGTTCGAAAATAAAGCTGTCTCTGGCTTCTTGCAACGAACCTGAGAGTGAAGACTCTGTTTTCTTCCACAATCTGCATCTGAGGTCCATAGCCTCAAAGGTATTTAGATGCCTAACTTCCATGGATTTCAATGGGAATTAGGCATCTAAATAACCTTGAGGAATGGGGCCTCAGTGATCTGCTGTATCACACCACAAAATGCACACACATTTTAAAAACTACAAGCATACAAAAATATAAAAACCACAACTTCAACCCTGCTCCTAAATTCAGTTTACATTTTTATATACCCAACAAAACAATATTCAAAAATTAAGAATAAATTGATTCATGTAGGCCAGAGAGGAAATTAATGTCACGCTAGTCTTTTCTTGTTTTGGCCCCAGGCAAATAAGGCAACTGCCCATCTAACCAAAACACGATCACTGCCAACAAATATTCTGCTTTTTGAGCTAATGAGGCAAAAGGCTTCTGAGCCAAGATTGGAAATAGGCATTTATTTCTCAAGTGGCAATTAACACAGAGGAAGTGGATGGGAGTAGAGTTGATTGGCGTAGTCAAGCCAGTTAGTCAAGACTTCCAAATATTTCCAACAGACCAGAGGGTGTGAACGCAGCTCGAGCTGACGTACCCACACTAGCTTTAATCTCACTATCTTGGGTCCTAGAACGGTGAAGCCAAAGCAGCATGAGCATCAGCGCGGGCTAGCCCTGTAATTATCCAGGGTCCAGGGTGAGCTTGTATAGCTAGCGCTGCCGCTGTTTCACTGTTCCTGGACCCAAGCTAGATGATGGAAGCCAGGGCCGGCTCTAGGCACCAGCAAAGCAAGCTGATGCTTGGGGCAGCACATTTGCAGGGGGCAGCATTCAGGCCATCCTTTTTTGTTTTGTTTTGTTTTGATTTGCTTGGTGGCCCGCCATAGAGCCCCATAACACTCACTTCATCCCCTCTCGCAATGCTGCAGAAGTGGAGAACCCACGGGACCCTGGGAGCTGTAGTTCCTTGGTTAGCTCCCTGCTTATAGAGCCAGCCCTAGAGCAGGGAAAGAACTACGTTTCCCAGCAATCCCTTGGCAGCTATCAACAGGAAAGGGAGGGGTAGGGAGTGAGGTAGCTGAGCCATGCTGCAGCTTGCTGTGAGTCGAAAGGGGTGGCACTGTGAATGGGGAACAAGTATGCCCAAGGAGTAGAAGGCTTTGCCCCAGATAGCCCCTTCAGAAGACTTCCCCAGACTGGATTAGGGATACTGGTGTGACCTCACCTTGCAGCCCCCAAAGAAGGAATTGGGTGGACTTAATGGACAGTGCCCCTCTCTACCTGAAACCTAGCAAGGGAGGTACGTGGATCCCACTAGAATTTAAAATGAAAAGTAAGGGAGGGGAGGCTCTGCTAGAGTACTTGGGTAGTTTTAGATCAGTACCAGGAACTTAGGTGGATTTCCACTTCTGAGCCATGGAAGCAGAAATTGACTTTTCCTTTCCAGATTTAGCTAATATTCAGAAAGGGAATCTAGCACCTGCCTTCCAGATTTGAACACCCTCAAAATTCAGGAATGCTCAAGCTCAATTTGCGCAGCTGTTACTTCATTTCTCCCAAATCAAATATACTGATCCACTGTAACTTGCTGTAGAAAAAGTAGGATAAAATTGAGCAAGAAATGCTTCCTAGTGGTGGTTAGGACTGGAATTGCTATTTTTAACAGCCATTGCCTTTTTGTTTGTTTTTTGTTTGTTTGTTTAAAAGAAAGACAGTGATATTGCATTGGCAAATTCCCCAAAGAAACGAAGAGTGGAACAAAAGAATAATAAAGGCACCTCAACTTTTCCTCATTTATGTAGGACAGTCTTATAATATGCATACAGATATCCTCCAATCACACAAGCTGAAAATTGGTCCACTTTACTGCAGTTCTGTAACCATATGGGAACCAATCCTGTCTGTGTTCTGTGCACATCCAAAATTCCTGCTGAATGACCTGCCCTGGGAGCGAGTTACCAGTGACCCAGGGCTGGGACAGCAGGAGGGTGCAGGTTGGGGGGGAGAGCCCAGGGCTGGGGCAGCAGGGGGGATCCCAGGGCTGGGGTGGGGGGCAGCCAACATTTTTTTTGCTTGGGGCAGCAAAAAACCTAGAGCCGGCCCTGATGGAAGCTAGTTCAGCGATGTCAGCTAGAGCTCCAGTCGCACCCCGTGACTGCAGTCTAGACATACCCTTCGAGTGCTGACTAGACCTGGTTCTGAAAACCCTCAAGACTGCAGAGATCAATGGCCTTACAAAAGTCAAGGGCATTTTAAAGTTTTAAATTTATTATGCTATTGCTCCAAACAGAACCTTGGTAGCCGACGTAAATTCATTCGTACTCTGAAACCAACCCTTACATATTGGGCTTTGGCTGAAATAGAACTTTCACCCAACTCTGTCCTACGTAAATCAGCTGGGGTTTAGTTAAGAAGATCAAGCATTCTCCTCAAGAATGTATTTTGCACTACATCTAATGACCTAAGCATAGATGTCGACTCTGTGGTTGCTCCGGGGCTGGAGCACCCACAGGGGAAAAAAAAGTAGGTGTGTGATGTTGCGCTCCATAATGCTTTATAGAAATATGCTTATGAGTGTAAATATGACATGACTGGAATATGTTTTATGCTAGATGTGCCATGTAACATATCTTTGCAAAGGTTATGATCTACTGAATATATTCATCCTATTTGTATGCATGTATCATTTTTATATTTGAAGTTATGAGCGTTGGCTCTATGCTTGTATTTAAAGTGTTTGCTGTAGGGACACTGAAGGGATTACTCAAGTAATTGAGAGTACTTAACTAATAATGGACTTTGGGAGATGCCAATCCACATCTGAGCTTTCCTGGGAATGTTCAAACTAATATGTAAACAATGGCGTTGGCCTGCAAAAAGCAGAATCACTCATGGACATGTGACTTGCTCAGGTGGCTACAAACTCCATCTTGTTGCTATGATTTTGCACAGAAGAACAAAGGGGTTTCCGCCCACAAGAGAGAGAATATAAAAGGTCCTGGAAGCCTCTCCATTTTGTCTTCAGCTAGCTCAAGAAATGGCCTCTCAACCCCAAAGAGATGCCTGAAAGAAACTGGAACAAAGGACAGTAACTATGGGGGTGTGAGTGATTGCTGGACCCAGACCATAAACTACAACATTGGTCTGAAAAGGATTGGGCTCAGACTAGGAAGGAGTCCAGTCTGTGAAGGAAGCTTATTGGAACATCTCTGAGGGTGAGATTTCATCTGTAATTAGCTTCTTAATGTATTAGGCTTAGACTTGTATGTTTTGTTTTATTTGGCTTGGTAACTTACTTTGTTCTGTCTGTAATTACTTGGAACCACTTAAATCCTACTTTTTATACTTAATAAAATCACTTTTGTTTATTAATTAACTCAGAGAATGTATTAATACCTGGGGGGGCAAACAGCTGTGCATAGCTCTCTATCAGTGTTATAGAGAGCAGACAATTTATTTATTTCGGGTTTCGGCTCCCAGAAAGACTGAATACTGGGTTCTGGGAAAGTCCCTGTTAACTGAGAAGCCCCTGGACTAAGTGAACCTTAATTTCAGGGGGCATGGCCCAACCTCTTGCTCTGTACTGGAGCAGACTGGTGTGCCTAGTTCAACAAGACGGGAGTGGAGGAAAGCCTTTTCTGGCAGGGGGGGTTGTTCTCAGTAGTATCCCAGTACATCTAGTGACACTCTTGAGGCAGTTTCTGTGACCCAACCCGTCACAGGGTGCTCAGCACCCACTGGCAGTCCCTGCTGATCAGCTCCATCCCCTCCATCCCAGCGCCTCCTGCCCGCCGAGGATCAGTTCAGCAGTGGGCAGGAGGTGCTGGGGGGGAGGGGGAGGAGCAGCCAGGGCAGAGCGGGGGCGGGAAGAGGTGGGGTGGGGCCTTGGGGGAAGGAGTGGAGTGGGGGCGGGGCCTGGGACAGAGCAGGGGT